CCTCAGACCCTGATCCCCCTGCCCCCTTGGCTGAGGGGGGTTTCCTGGCGGAGGCTAACCTCCTGAAGTTGTCTCCGGCAAACCCAGCCCCCGAGGGTCCGAAGGTGGTGAGTGTCCAACTGGGTGATGGCACAAGGCTCAAGGGCACGGTGCTGCCCGTGGCCACCATTCAGAATGCAAGTACTGCCATGCTAATGGCGGCCAGTGTGGCCCGCAAAGCGGTGGTTCTGCCCGGGGGCACTGCCACCAGCCCTAAGACGATGCCTAAGAATGTGCTGGGTCTGGTGCCCCAAGCCCTGCCCAAGGCTGAGGGGAGGACAGGGCTGGGGACAGGGGGCCAGAAGGTGAATGGCGCCTCGGTGGTAATGGTGCAGCCTTCTAAGCCGGCCACTGGGCCGGGTGCAGCGGGTGGCACGGTGATCTCACGGACCCAGTCCAGCCTGGTGGAGGCCTTCAACAAGATCCTCAACAGCAAGAACCTGCTGCCTGCCTACCGGCCGAACCTGAGTCCACCGGCTGAGGCCGGGCTGGCCCTGCCACCCACGGGCTACCGCTGCCTCGAGTGTGGGGATGCCTTCTCATTGGAGAAGAGCCTGGCGAGACACTATGACCGCCGGAGCATGCGCATTGAGGTCACCTGCAATCACTGCGCCCGCCGCCTGGTCTTCTTCAACAAGTGCAGCCTGCTTCTGCATGCCCGCGAGCACAAGGACAAGGGGCTCGTCATGCAGTGCTCACATCTGGTCATGAGGCCGGTGGCCCTGGACCAGATGGTGGGGCAGCCGGACATCACACCCCTGCTGGCTGTCCCACCTGCCCTCGGACCTCCAGCCTTGCCCGCCTTGGGCAAGGGTGAAGGGGCCGTCACCACATCCGCCGTTACTGCAGTTGCTGCCGAGGCCCCCGTGCTGCCGCTCTCAACGGAGCCACCCACCACGCCTGCCACCTCTACTTACACGTGCTTCCGCTGCCTGGAGTGCAAGGAGCAGTGCCGCGACAAGGCCGGCATGGCTGCCCACTTCCAGCAGCTCGGCCCCCCCGCCCCTGGGGCCACCAGCAATGTGAGTTACCTTTCACAGCCCCTCCCTGGGAAGGGGACAGCCAGGTGCCATGGGGACAGGGTCTAGGAAGGTGTGGGGGCTTGGTTAGAAGGAATGGGGGACAGGCCCCTCCTCACAGACTCACCTTGTTTTGACTTCCCTCGACAGGTGTGCCCGACCTGCCCCATGATGCTCCCCAACCGCTGCAGCTTCAGCGCCCATCAGCGCATGCATAAGAACCGACCTCCCCACGTCTGTCCTGAGTGTGGGGGCAACTTTCTGCAAGCCAATTTTCAGACCCATCTCCGGGAGGCCTGCCTACATTTCTCTCGCCGCGTAGGATACAGGTGCCTCCCACACCTCCTCCCCATATGTCGACACTTTTCCTCCTGTACTTGATGATCTCGTGGCTCCTGGGACCAGCCTTTTAGAAGGCGGGCCCGTCTCTCCTGCTGAATCACTCAGCCATGCTGTGTTGACGAGTGCAGTCTGAGCTCTCTGCCTTTCCGTCGCTCCCCACAGAGAGGCGCGAGCAGGTCCACCTCTGGAACACCAGCTCTACCTCCGCAGGCCTCCCTTCCCAGACTGGGTTCTGTGGCTCCTTCCTCCACTTGCTCATGTTCCACTGCTGATTAACTTCTCAGGCCACCCGGTCCCCGAGAATGAGTGTGGGGTTGGGGGTGGCTGTAGGGACGCCCCCCACTCACCACTGTGCCTTCGACTTTCTCCCCAAGGTGCCCCAGCTGTGCAGTGGTGTTTGGGGGTGTGAACTCCATCAAGTCCCACATCCAGACGTCACACTGCGAGGTTTTCCACAAGTGCCCCATCTGCCCCATGGCCTTCAAGTCTGCACCCAGCGCCCACGCCCACCTCTACACCCAGCATCCCAGCTTCCACACGCAGCAGGCCAAGTGAGACCTGGGGAGGGCACATAGGGGCGGGGTGGGAGGAGTGGGGATTGGGCCTTGATGGGGCAGGATGTTGGCACTGTCCCTCCTTCCACACAGGATGATCTACAAGTGCGCCATGTGTGACACGGTCTTCACTCACAAACCCCTCCTCTCCTCACACTTCGACCAGCACTTGCTGCCCCAGCGTGTCAGCGTCTTCAAGTGCCCATCTTGTCCTCTGCTTTTTGCCCAAAAAAGGACCATGCTGGAACATCTCAAGGTACAGGAGTCAAGGGACGGAGGTGGGGTGCTCGACTGTATCAATCCGGGGTTAAGATCACACACCCCTTTGGAAGTGGGAGCAGGGTTGAGAAGCCAGGACTTGGGCAAAGCCAGGTCCTCCCCCGCCAACAGCCACACGCCTTGTCTCCCTCTCACAGAACACCCATCAGTCTGGGCGCCCGGGGGAGGAGACCGCTGGGAAAGGAGCTGGGGGTGCCCTTCTGACCCCCAAGACAGAGCCCGAGGAGCTGGCTGTGTCTCGGGCAGGAACCGCTGCCCCTACTGAGGAATCTTCTTCCACCTCAGAAGAGGAGGAGCCGCCCAGCTCCCCCGAGCCCCCTCGCCCAAGCAAACGGCCCCGGCGAGAACTGGGGAGCAAAGGCATCAAGGGCGGGGGGGGCGGCCCGGGAGGCTGGACCTGCGGCCTCTGTCACTCCTGGTTTCCTGAGCGTGACGAGTATGTGGGTCACATGAAGAAGGAGCATGGCAAGGTGAGGGGGACGCCCCGGGAGCCAGAGGGGCTGCGCTGGGCTGGCCTATGTGGCCATGGGGACGGGGTCCCAGGTGGGAGCCTGGCTCTGAGATCCCCCACTGCCTGCTCTCCTAGTCAGTGAAAAAGTTCCCCTGCCGCCTGTGTGAGCGCTCCTTCTGCTCGGCCCCCAGCCTGAGGCGCCACGTCAGGGTCAACCACGAGGGTATCAAGCGAGTTTACCCTTGCAGGTAACCTTCACCCTGTGCCCCTGTCCTCTTCTCTCTCCAGCAGGGTGCCCCCAACCCGGGTTCCCCAAAACACCTTCCCACCTGCCTCTTAGGTCTGAGTGGACTGACGGTTGAGGCCTCCCTCTGCTCAAGCCACGAGCCTTGGTCTTTGGGCTGTGCCCCGGCGCCCACCCCGCCCGCTCTCCCCTTTAGGTATTGCACAGAGGGAAAGCGCACCTTCAGCAGCCGCCTGATCCTGGAGAAACACGTCCAGGTCCGGCACGGCTTGCCGCTCGGGGCCCAGTCCCCTGGCCGGGGGAGCGCCCTGGCTCGGGGCCCTGGTGCCAGAGCCCAGGTAGGCGGAGGCCCGAGCTGCCGAGCGAGGACGGTGGGAGCGGGAGCCTGCGGGACGTGGACGTGGCCTCAGGGCGCGGGGTGGGGGTGCCGGGGCCGTGGGACCTGGACACCCAGTTCTTTTACTCTCTTCTCCAGGGGCCGGGACGGAAGCGCCGCCAGTCCTCAGACTCTTGCAGTGAGGAGCCTGACAGCACGACACCTCCAGCCAAGTCCCCCAGGGGCGTACCCGGGTCGGGTGGCCATGGCCCCCTGCGCTACCGGAGCGGCGGCTCGGCAGAACAGAGCCTCGTGGTGGGCTTGAGGGTGGACGGTGGTGCCCAGCAGTGCCTCGACTGTGGCTTGTGCTTTGCCTCGCCTGGCTCCCTGAGCCGTCACCGTTTCATCAGCCACAAGAAGAAACGGGGTGTGGGGAGTGCCAGTGCCCTAGGCCTGGGGGATGGGGAGGAAGAGGCCCCTCCTCCTTCCAGGTCCGACCCAGATGGTGGAGAGTCACCCTTGCCTGCTTCAGGAGGCCCGCTGACCTGTAAGGTCTGTGGCAAGAGCTGCGATAGCCCTCTCAACCTCAAGACCCATTTCCGCACACACGGCATGGCGTTCATCAGGGCTCGGCAAGGGGGCAGCGGGGACAACTAGGGCCCAGGCCTGGACTGAGCCCCTCCCTCTTCTCTTGGGAGCCCTGGGTCACTGCTGCTGCCTGGTCCCTGGGCTGGGGAGCTCCATTATAATTCATGTTTTGTTCACCTCCTCTTCCGCTAACCCCCAAGGACAACCAGCTTTTGAGGATGGTAGTTACTTGTGGTCCCTCCTTGGGTCCTAGTAGAGTGGGTCCTCCATTCCTTCTTTCTGAGCCCAACACTAATTATTTTCTTGCTGCAGCCCCCCCATGTGGGACGGGGGGTGGTGGCGGGGAGGATGGGAAGGCCTGATACTGGGGTGGTCAGCGACACTCCTCACCTCTGTGGGCACGGATGGCGGCCCCATCTGTGTCCCAGCATGCCCTTCAGACTCACTGGCACTCCAGCCCCCCACCCCTGCAGTGCCTTTCACTTTTTTTTTCCCCAGAAATCCAGGGGGGGGAGGGGGGTTGGTGGGGTGAGTCCTGTCAAGGGGGTCCCAGGGAGAGGAGGGGACAGGCTCTCAGGAATCCTTTATTCTTGTAGTAATAATACTAACAGTGGGGGAAATGGGAGGGAGAAAACCAGACCATTAAAACTGCTCGTGGTTTAATCCCCATTCAAGCTCCTCTTTTTATGTGACAATGTGGACGGGTCTGGGAGGGAGGTGAGTGACAAAGCTGGGAAGGCCCTTCTTGAGGGATGAGGTAGTTATTGACCAAGACAGGCAGGGAAAATGCAGTCTTCCTCCCGCTGTTCTGTGTGTGGTTCCTTTTGTAACCTGCACAGGCATGTTCGCTTCCCACCCCTGAAAAAAATACATCTCAGAAATGACACAGATGGCTAACTAAGGACTTTATTTCAAACAAAAATTAAAAAATTGAGAGCTGTCTCCCTGGGTGTGGGGAAGGGATCAGGGCAAGGAATTCCCCGAGGCTAGGCCAGTACCCTCAGACTGGAGGGGCTGTGATCACTCCCTTCCTCACTTCTGGGATGGGGGACCTCAGCAAGTGCAGGACCCTATGCCAAAGCCCACCTACCCAGGGGAACTCGGGCTAGGGCTCAGTCCCTGGGAGGGGACAGTCAGGCAGCAGCATGGCCAAAGGCCAACCACAGGATTAAGTCCTAAGTACCAAGAACCTACTCTCTTCTCCTTCCTGGGACCCAGAATACATGAAGAGGATGGCCTGTGGAAAGAACCTCTCGGACCCCGGTGAGGAGAAGCGAGGCCCCCAGCGCCCCCCACATTTATCACTTCTGTTCTCTGGAGGGCAGTGAGTCCTGGAGTCCATCTGGTGGTAATACTGACACAGCTGGGGTGGTGGCAAGGAAGCCCCAGTCAGTCTGGACCCCACAGCTGGCTCTCCCCACCTGCCCTGGCAAGTTCTACGGTTACCACATGATCCTTTGTATTTCTTGCCTTCCATTTCCCTTGGTGGATGGCTGGGTGGGTGGGGCTTCCTGGCTTAGGGTTTCTCCAAGGGCCTTCCCAGGGAGGGTCCCCTGAACCCCCCCATTGCGCTGGGGCCTGAGGAGGAGGGTGTCACATGATGCCGTTGGTGAGGTACTGGAAGCCGTCATAGAGTTTGGTGGTGATAGACCGCATACTGCCGTCCACCATCTGCTCCACCAGCAGCTGGAGCTGCTCCTCAGTCATGCTCATGTGGAACCTCTCCTTGAGGTTGCGGATGGTGCTGGAGCCATGGAAGCAAGGAAGCTGAGAACCTGGGGGCAGCAGCGAGGAACAGGGTCACAAACAGACGGGAGGGAGGGGCAGTGTAACAGTAGGGAGCCGGGCTGCCTGGTGCCCCTGCCCTCCCACCTCAGATCACTGACAGCATGGACGCAGGTCTGCTTGGGCAGAGAAGGGAGAATTGGCGGGAGGCCCTGTCTTGAGCCCCTTTTCATCCCACACACCTAAGTGCCTCTAGGTAAGGGCACAGGGGCAGAGGAGGGCAGGGGGTCAGCACCGCATCTCCTCCAGGGAAGCAGTCTTAGGACCCAGAGGGAAGGCTGGGAAGAGTCTGGGGAGTGGGCCCTGAGCTGGGCACTTATCTGGTTGCAGGCCTCTGCCTATGCTACGTCTGACACTCACAGATGACCTGGGCCACCGTCATCACGGGGCCAGACGGGGATGCTCCTGAGCAACGGCGACAACCTGTGGGGTGGGAGCAGGGATGGGGAGGAGGAGACTGGCAGCTTAGACTGGGTGGACACCAGAGCCCTGAGGAGGAAATGGGGATGAGGGCCCAGAGAAGATGGGAGAGGAGGGATCCTGGACAAAAGACTAGATGGCAAGGCAGTGAGGAAACAGCAGTGAGAGCAGATAAAGAGGAGAGAAGAACACGGCTCGGCTCTGAGCAGAAGGGGTGAGTATGGCCAAGGAAAAGGGTCTGAGGATAGGGCCATCGGAGGTCAGAGGCCAATGGGTAGCAAGGTGGTGACTTTTGAAAACACCTGAGTTGGTGAAGAGCCAAGCGATGGAAGGAGACAAACTCGGAGCTGGACAAAGGATGGGGAGACAGGAAGAGACCAGGAGGCAGGAGATGGGACTCCTTTTTTTTTTCCCCTTAGTGCACACAGGAGGTAGTTTCTGTTGCCTCAGCCCTCCCACCCTCCAGGAATAGCGGTCAGGAGTTGGGAGGAGTATGTGGAAGGAGGAGCAGGGCACTGGATCAGAGTTGGGAACCCCACCCCCAGTCTTGAGGTGGACTCAACTCTGGAGGCTCCACGCCCCAGGGCCCCAACATAGCAGGAATTCTGAGGCACTACGGGTCCCACCCTATCCCCAAACATAGGCTTCTCCCCAGCCCACCTTGCTGCATGATCTCTACGATCTGCACCACCTTATCCATGTGTTTCCGAGCAGCGATCAGCCCCTGCAGCATCAACATCTTGTAATAGTTGAACATGTCGCCATCCAGGCCGCCCATCACCTTCGAGGAGAGAGTTGTGTGTGCAAGGGAGCTCACAACTTCCTCCCTTAGGTAAACGTGCCAAACTGTGTTACCTGCCCATCTCTTATCAGGCAGGAAGCCTCCCCTGCCTCACCCTCATCCAACCTCACCCTGACTTATTCCCATTTCTGATCTGTTTGTTCCCACTTGCGGGGAGACTACCAGCTCCCCCTCCCATGACAGAACAGTGAGGCACCTCTCCTTCCTGACTCACGTCCACAAACTCTGTGGTCAGCTTAAAGGCTGATGTCTCAAAGCCCAGGTTTCGGGGTGAGCTGGATAGGATGAAGCCAAAGTCGATGTGGATGATGTGGCCTTCTGCGTCCAATAGGATGTTCCCATTGTGTCTGAGGAGGGGGCAGATGAGAGGAAGAGACAGTAGTAAGTCCGACTGAGGTGGGAGCTTAAGCTGCAACACACTGGCCACGTGACACCAGGCAAGGGCCCTGCCACTTTGCCTAGAACTCTGGGTCCAACCCCTAGAACCCAAAGCTGGCAGTAGGAAGAAAGGAAATTAGAAAAGTAGACTGCTAACAAAGGCAATGGGGTCTGACTTGCTATCATTAACAACTTAATAAAATAGCTTTAAGATTATCCCCATTTCCCAATAATCGTGCTTCTAAGCACCCAATCCCAATCTAGTAGAGAACTGGGAAGCTAGAAAAGACAGCCTCTGCACTCTGTCCAGCTGTCACAGAGGCCAAGCGCTTAGCTTAGTGGGAGGCAGCCAGTTACAACCTAATTACCTGTGTTTTGTTTGTAATTCCCATTGGCCCACTGCAAATCAGAAACCCCACTGGAAGGGAACAGCAATCCCAGGCTGAGTGGAGTTTAAATGTAAAATAGTGTGTGGGCTTCAAAGAGTCAGCTTTAACTGTTTGGTAAAACCACTTCTGTAAAAAAATTCCCAGTAGGCAATTCCTACAAGCTAGCTGCATGAAGAAGCTGCTAAGTCATGTCAGTCGGGTCTGACTCTGTGTGACCCCATAGACGGCAGCCCACCAGGCTCCCCCATCCCTGGGATTCTCCAGGCAAGAACACTGGAGTGGGTTGCCATTTCCTTCTCCATGAAGAAGAGAGAGAGATAAATCCCAGGTCTTTGTGATTCCCACATGAATGGCCAGTCGGAGGGGAACAATTAACATGCTAAGCATGTGAGGCCTGGCCCATAAGGGACCTCCTCAGAGTTAAAAGAGGCTTTGTTAGGCTAAGAGCTCACAGTCTGAGGCCACCTTCTCTGGGGTTGGTTTGACTGGCCTAAAGAAGAGGGACAGAGGGAGAACCCAGTCCCACCTGAGTCCTTACCCCTCTGGGGAAGCGTAACAAATTCAGCAACACTCAATCTTGAGAGCCAGAAAGCCCCAGGTGTCCTAGTCCAGCCTGTCATTTTATAGGTGAGGAAACAAGCTGAGAGAAGAAATGACCGACTTGTCCCAGGTCCCAAGCCAGTGAATGAAGGGCAGTTCCTCTTCTCTCCTTAACCACTGGAACGAACTCCAGCTGCACTGCTGCAGGGGACTCATTCTGAAGCACTTGAGGGGACCTTCAGCTGCTTCCAGTTCGGGGCCCCCTTCACTGCTGACGCTTCTCTCCAGTGGATGAGTCCATTCAGGACTTAACTACATCTATTCTTTTTTTGAGTTATTATGAAAGGTTTACCAGCTGCCCGTCTCTTCCTCCACTTTTAAAGGATGGACTCTCATCTTTCAAATATATTAGTTTCCTAAAGAATAGCCCAGAGGCCTGAGCATCACCTGCTTCCCTGCCCCCACTTACTCAACGCAGGGGCTCAGGCTCTAGGCTCTCTGGGCCCTGGATTCCAAATCCTGACTCTTGAGGGACAGTCTAAAGCTTGCACTGTCATTCTTTTTACTCAGCCATAAAAAAGGAATGAAATAATGCCATTAGCAGCAACATGCATGGACCTAGAAATCATCACATTAAGTGAAGTCAGTCAGACAAAAAGATAAATATTATACGATATCACGTCTAGGTGGAGTAATAAGTGAACTTATTTACAAAACAGAAACAGACTCACAGACACAGAAAATAAACTTACAGTTACCAAAGGGGAAGAGGGATTAACAGATACACACTACTTATATAAATAAAAATTTATTGTATAGCACAGGGAAGTATATTCAATATCTTGTATTAACTTATAATGGAAAAGAGTCTGATAAAGAATATATATGTGTGTCTGTGTACATATATCCCTGTGACTCGGATGGTAAAGAATCTGCCTGCAATGTGGGAGACCTGGGTTCAATCCCTGGGTTGGGAAGATCCCCTAGAGAAGGGAATGGTGACTCACTCTAGTAGTCTTGCCTGGAGAATTCCACAGAGAGGAGCCTGGTGAGCCACAGTCCATGGGGTTGCAAAGAGTTGGACACGGCTAATCAACACACCCACACACACACACATAGTTGTTTAGTCACTAAGTCATGTCTGACTCTTTGCAATTCCATGGATTGTAGCCTGCCAGGCTCCTGTGTATACATACACACACATATACATATATATACATAACTGAATCACTTTGCCATGTACTTGAAACTAACACGATATTGCAAATCAACTATACTTCAATTAAAAAAAAAAGTCAGGCATTGCAGGCACTTAACAGATGCTGGATTTCTGATAAGCGGCTCTGTCGGTGAACCTTAATGTGCTGCCATACCACTGGGGACCCTGGAAGCACAGGCCACTGAACTAGTGCTTTCCCAGGCAGCTGCCCTAAGCCCGCTGAGAGGCACAACTCACAGGTGCATTCCAAGCACTGACCCCAAGTCACTGTCTGGAGAGAGTCTTAAAAAACAGGGCCTCGAGGGTGTAATAACCTTTGAATGGTATGTTGTTCACCTGTGTGCAAAGATGAGCTTCCTAAAGGTCACATGATACTGGCAGAAATGGCAGCTCTAGGCAAACAACAGGTACTTGAGTTTTGGAAATCATATGCTGGAACCAGGAGAATTCAGAGCTGGGAGTTTCAACTTTGTGTTCACCATGTCTTTCACATTCATCTGCTCCTTTCTGCTCTTAGTCTCTACCACTGCCCTCACACCAGGCCTCATCACCTCTTGTTTGACAGCTGAAGGTCCATTGATCCACCCTTGCCCACAGTGCCACAAGGCACACTCGCTCAACACAGACCGGCTCATGGTATTTCCTCTGCCTGCAGAATAAACCTCCTGAGCCTCATTAAGGCCCTACTAATCCAGCCTCAACTCACCTGACATTACCGCTACTACGTGCCATGCAGTGTGGCCCATGCTTAAATGACCTCGAATTGTTTCCTCTGCCTGGAACATCCTTCCTTTCCATCCACAGCTTTCTCTGTCCTCATTCTCCTTTGTCTTTCAAGACTGCATGCTCAGACCCTTGCTCCTCCCATAAATGCTTCACTTCTTTGCCCCTTGCCCTAGTACTTGTCAGTCTGCCTCCTTGCCTTAACAGAACAGGAATACATCTGTCTCCGCCTATAACATGTTGTTTGTTTCATCTTTACATCTTGGCAGTGGAAGGTGGTGATGAATAAATGAGGAAACAGAGGAAACCCTGGAGAAAAGCTAAGGATGAGGGACAGGAATTCACCTACCTGTCCTTGACCTGTAGCAGGTAGCAGACCAAGCAGTAGCCAGCACAACTCTGCACAAAATTGCGCTGGGCACTGAGGAATGCCTCAGTGGTGTAACTGCCATGCTCCTGTAGAAAGTAATCGAGCAGGGAGAGCTGAGACTGCTTCTTCACCTGGTGTATGGACACAGCGTTGACCACTGGTTCAATCATGCCACTGTCGGCCGAAATCACAAGAATCTTATATGGCTTGATCCACAGGGGTACTCGCTCCTGTTCCCAAATGGACTATGAGGAAACACACAGTGGCATTAAGACTCTAAATGAGAGGAGGAGGCTAAAATCCCTTCTGTTCCCAATCTCAGACAGTTCCCATCCTTGGTGGCCTTGAATTCTAGGCCATCAAGTAAGTAAAACCCTGTAAACCCACTGAGGACCAGGAAGTTTTGAAAGGAAATCCAGGGTCTGACAAGACACAGGGTGGCTGTAGGAAAAGGCATCTTATAGAGAGTTCAAAAGAGGGAGAGGAGAGGAGACCTAACTGTCACATCCCAGGCAGGGCAAGTGGGAGCTATTAATCCAAGTTCAAAAAACTGGGAAAAAGACCAAGAGATTTAGGTTCAGAGAAATCTCCTCCAGAAAATGAAAATACTTATATCAAGAACTGACTAAACAGGTGAATCTGCTTGTAGGCAACCACCCTGGGGGGTCAGGGATTGACATCTCAGCCCACCGCAAACCACTTGCTACAAATCAGTTGGGAGTTTTTTGATCTGTGATCAGAACAGGTGCCAGTCACAAAAGGGCCACAAGAGATCGCTGTGGAGCTGCTCCTGGGACTTCTGGGGAGAAGCACCAGCTTAGTTCAATGAAAATCCAACTTTGGCCTAGGCAGGGAGTTGGTCCCCAGCAGAGTTCCCTGCAGAAGGACCTGTGTGATCACCTCAGGTGGGCTACAGGTGGGCTGAGTTTCCCTTCTTTCTCCCTCCCTTTTCTTACCTGCAGTTGCTTTAGCACCTGGAAGGCCAACAGCTCCTGCCGAAGGTCATCCCCACACTTGACAATGACTGACAGGAGCCGCCAATTGGGGAGATGGCCATAGGGGGATCCCTCTCTAATGCGCCTGTGAAGAGAAGCAAAAGTGTCAAGGGTGATGCCAGGCTTCCCTGGTGGTCCAGTGGTTAAAGCCTTGCAATGCATTGGACATCAGCTTGGTTCCTGGTCCAGGAAGATCCCATGTGGGATCTTGCAACTAAGCCCCATGCCACAACTGCTGAGCCCATGTGCAGCAACTACTGAAGCCCACACACCCTAAAGCCTGTGTTCCACAAGAGAAGGCACTGCAATGAGAAGCCCACGCACCACAACTAGAGTGGCCCCTGCTCTCTGCAACTAGAGAAAGCCCGTGTGCAGCAATGAATACCCAGCACAGCCGAAAATAAATAAAATAAAAAATATTAAAAAAAAAAGAGCAGGGGGTGATGCCAGGTTGAGGACAGACACACAATTTCTATAAAAAATTCATATCAAACCCCCCTCAAGGTAAGGACTCAAGACTGCCTGAGGCCTGATGGATTTTTCAGAGGAGACTGACAGAATATGGAGGGTGAATCCCCACCCAACTCACCGCACTTTCTCCTGCCAGGGCTCTTTAAGAGCAACTGCAGAAGGGTCTTCTGGGTCTCGTTTGAAGGCTGTGGGGGTGTGAGCCAGCTGCTCCGAAAGGCGCCGTCTAGCAGGAAGAATGCATTGGAAGTATCATTTGCTTGGAGGAGTTACCCCAGATCCTCCTGTCCCTGTCTATGCCGGCATTTCCTGCACTGTTTCCTTGACTCTGGGCACACAGAGATAGAAACCTGGGCTGAGAGAGACTCATGGAAGGAACATACCACTGATACCTCTCTGCTCACCTGGTGGTTTGTAATCATGCTAAATGCAGATTAGCAGCCCCTCACCATTTTCCTACCAAGATTCTGCATCAGAACAGATACAGCTCCAGCATCTGCATTTCCCACACCATCTCCTCCTTCTCTGAGCAATGTGTCTGACACACGTGTCCTCTGTCTTCCCAGACCCACTCTGGGAAACACTCAGACCTTCCTCTGGTAGTTTCATTCCTTTGGAGTCCTTTTAAAATTTACTTTCTGTAGTAACCCAGTAACTTCCCAGCCCACATCTTTACTCCCTCTAGTTTGGTGGCATCAGGACAAGGACAGAGTAAGGAGGGAGAAGAGGGAAGCTAAAGGCTGACAAAAAGGAAGGGAACAGAGACAGGTGGCGCCTAAGAGAGGGGTGAAAAAGGAGGGCTACACGGTCTGGCCATACCGGATGTCACCTGCTGCAATGAACACAGGCTCCTTGCTTTCCTGGCTGGTGATGCTGTCCACGGAGAACTGGGAGATGTTGTCACAGCTGTTGGTGTGCACTTCAGGGAGCTGGGGAGAGCACGGCACTGCCGGTCAGAAGCGCTAAGCACAGGGGCGCCTCTTCCACCTTCTCTTCAGATCACCCTTCATGCTGCACTCTCCACAGCATGAGCAGTCCTCCCTTTCAAACTCTGCTCCAAGAAGCCTCCTCAGGTCATGCATCTTCTGGACCCCACACTATTTAGGTTCCCCACCCCACCCCCAGACCCTCTAGCAGTGTTTTTCAATGTGTCAACTATAGCTGCATCAGAATGACCTGGAATGCTGCTAAAACACAGATCCCAGGCCACCATCGATCTGAATTTAAATGACTGGGAATGGGATCTGGAAAAATGAATTCCTAACAAAGCCTCCAGAAGACTTCCAATGCATTCAAGTTTGCAAACCACTGCCAGGACCATCACAGAAAGCTGAACTTTCAGCCTTATGCTGAGAGCTCCCCAAGGCCAGGAATGCAATCTTAGGGTCCAGAACAGACCCTCTCCAGGCTGGGTTCCTCTCAGCATTTCTTTAAACTAAGCCATCCGATCTTTTATTTCTTTGGGTTGTGCTGGGTCTCTGTTGCTGTGCAGGCTTCCTCTTGTTGCTGCGAGCAGGGGCTGCTCTCCAGCTGTGGTGCTTGGGCTTCTTACTGTGGCTCCTGGGCTCTAGAGAACAGGTTCAATGGTCGTGGAACATGGGCTTAGTTGCTTCGTATCGTGTGGGACCTTCCCTGGCCAGGGATTGAACCTGTGTCTCCTGCACTGGCAGGTGATTTTTTTTAGCACAGAGCTATCAGGGAAGCCCTAAGCCATTCAATCTTATCTCCTCATCTCTCTCTAACTATAAAATAACAGACTCCAAGGCCCATATCAAGTCCCGTCTTTTCTCCTTCGTTTGTACCAGTGCATTTCTCCTTAACCCCATTCGCCATTACTGCACATTGCTTTGTTGTGTACCTTATATATAGATTTTTTTTTTTCTCTTAAATGTCCGCATCTGGTCTCCCCAGTTGGACTGCCAGCTCAAGTACAGAGTCTGCCTTTTCACAAAGTGGAATCTGATTGGGTCACAGCTCTAACAGAATCCTGTTCTGGTTCCCTACAACCCCAGAATGAAATCCCAGTTTCTTTCTGCACTTACAGGATCCTTCTTATATCCGGCCCATTTTGGCCTCTCCAGCCTCATTCTTTACCACTCTTCATCTCACGACCACACCTCAGAGCCACACAAAATTTCTTTCTATTCTTAAAATGGACCAAGCTCCCTTGTGTCTTCTGGTCTCTGCATGAGCTGTCCCCTCTGCCTGGAATACTCTGTCCAGCTAATTCCTAGCTACCTCCAGGTCTCAGCTGAGATATTACTTCCTCCAGGAAATTGTCTGGGGTGTGTCCAACCCCAAGTCTGGAATAAGTGCCACGCCCACCTGCAAATGCTCCCCTGATACCGAATTCTCTCCAGCACAACCTGGATCACACCACACTACATCTCTCTGCTGACTGGCCTTCTTCTCTCTCCTATTAGGTCACAAACTCCTTGCAGGCAGGGGCCAAGCCTTGTTTACTAGCACACAATACTCAGAGTGGACAAAAAGAAGGCCCTCCATAAATATTCCTTGAATGAACAAACATATGACTTATTCTTCTTTGCTTTATATAGCAGGTGTTCAACATACATTTTGATTAAATTTTCCACTCTCCCCTGGGCTTAGAAGTTCTTCCTTACGTTAAGCCTAAATTCTTCTTGCAGGAAAACAAGCTCCACCTGAATCTATTCCAGACTAGACCTGTTCAGTGCTTCCCCTCTCACCCCTGTCAATAACTACCCCACTCATTTGGGCATTTGCTCCAGCCTGCCTCAGGGAGTGTTGTGTTGTCTCAAATACAATGAAAGCGCCCGGCGAACAGGTCCTATGCCCAGTACTACTTCCTTGGAGCTCCCTCACCTCCACCTGCAGCTCGCCTATGTCATCCACCGACCAGGCCTCGTCATCGTTGTCATAGTTGGGCACAGTGCTGAAGCTGCCTGCCCGCTGCTCGTGGGTGATGCCGCATTCGGGCAGGTTCTCTACAGACCGGGTGCTCCGAATTCGGTTCTCGGGGATCCGGGCAGGGACACTAGTGGTGTCGAAGTTTTCACATTCGAGGACTTCCACATAGATCAGGTAGGGAGCCTGGGGGGATAGTGAGAACAGTATTTGTAATATACCTCTACCACTGTTCCCCCCAAAACTCAACCCTGGTAACACAGTTTGTCCTGCTACCCACCCCTGCGCCAGCCTGCCTCCATCAGTCCCCAGACACCAGGAATGCCCTACTTAAGGCAGGAACTGATCCTATGAATATATATATAAGAATCTGGCTGAGAGTATATCGGTCTAGCAAATGTTCAGCTGAGCTTCAAAATGTATAGAGGGTGCACCTGACCAAAACCACCCCGAACTATCAATTACCACCCATCAGAGAGGCCTGAATGTCTCTGTGGGCTTGTCCTCAAAACAGAAAGACTAGGAAAAAGCTGGGCACTGTGTCAAACAGGATTCTAATCTTCAATACGTCTTCTGGAAAAAACAAACAAACAAACATCTGAACCATTAGTACTCATTTCAACCAGCATACTGCTTGAGCTAATTCTCTCCAACGTGAACTGGGCACCTTTCTCTCCTTCTCCCTGCCCACTGTGATCAGAAAAGTTCTTAGAAACAAACATTTCTTTACTGTTATTGTTGCTGTGCCGGGAAAGCCTAAGAGTTATGGAAGGGCTGGAGAAGAGCTCCCAGAAGGACTAGAAGGAGGTGAGGCGAGTGGCTCTCCTCTGAGGCAGAGCAGGAGGCAAGCTGAACACATCAGGCTGCTTTGGTCCAGAAAAACAAAGCCCCAGAACAGGGAGAGGCAGGCCCTCAGCATCACAGCAGAGCAGAGGTGAAGTCAAGGCTGACAGGTGTGCATGAGCTACGGGGGAGTTCAGGGTGTCGGGCGGCTTCCCTGGGCCCACACACAAGCACGGGAGGAGAGTCAGATGAGGGGTCTGGTTGAGGCCAGAGCCCACCTACCTTGTCCTTAGAGTTGAGGACGACAGCCTGGGTGTGGGGCACGCGGACCACGTGGTGGTCAAAGCCGGCAGTGGGCAGCCAGACTCGGGCGGGGAGCTTGTGGTTGAGCAGGGAGAGCTCTGAGATCAGCCGCTGTGTCTTCTGCTCCTTGGTGGGGAGCGTGGCCAGCCGCTTGCCAATCGCCATCAGGGACTTGATGAATTCTCGCTCAGGAGCCAGTCTGACGGGCTACAGGGGGGTGGGGTGAAGTAAAAGATGGTGAAGAAACCATAGAAAAAAGTGGTCCTCCCACTTAGTCACGACTAGACCCGCAGGCCAGGGGTCCCAGTGTCTCCAGTACTCCAGGGAAGGGAAACCTTCCGGCCCTGTCAGGAGATCCCACCCACGGCCATCAACCTGAACTGGGAACAGGCAGAAAAGCCAGCACTGCCCTCCCTCACAGGCTGCTTCTTGACGGGAAGGGGGTGTGTGATTCCGGGTCACTCGGTGCACCCCACTGCTCCTGGACTTGAGTTCCCGAGGAACTGTCCCAAGGCTCCCAGACGGATGGGAGGGTGACATCCAGAGAGGTCAGCCAGGGGCCCAGGCGGAAATGCTGCTCGCACCTGAAGCGCTTCACCCATCTCAGGAACGAGGCCATCCCTCTCCCCACCAGGATTCCTGGGCTGGGTCTCCACCAGGCCCACAGAGCTCCAGAGGGGAGCTGTGAATCAGTACCTCCCCTTTCAAAGGAGGATTCAGTCCATTTAAGTGACTTTTGCTGCTTCCACGGCATTCCACCTGTCCACCCCACAATCTCTCACCGAGGGTCAGTGCGCATGCAGGGTATGAGGCAGGATGAGCAGACTTTGCACTAATGAGGGAACAATCAACGGGGAAAGAAAAAGCAGATGGGAGGTTGGGAGGTGTGTGGAGGTGGGTGGAGAAGACAGCTCCTTTCAGGCCCTGGTGCCAGCCCTGAAGGCCGGTCTTTCAGTGATTCCTCCTTGGATCCTCTTCCCCCACCTCTCAGGGACCAGGCCACCCACATTCGCTCCCTCCTGCGGGCCTGGCTGCTCACGCTGGGTACTTCATTCTCAGAAAGGGCAAAGTCAGTGTCGGGAGTCAGGCGGGGATGGGGAAAGAGATGGGCTCAGCTAGACATGGAGAAGGGCTCCATTGCCAGCTTAAGTCCTTCCACCTTAAGGGGCATTTTATCAAGATGGCCACCCAGCTCCCCGGCCCATCTCTCCTCAGCTAGGCAAGAACAATACCTCTTCCTCAAACAGAAACAGGGGTATCCCACTCACCAGGCTTCTCTCCCTCTTTGTATGTCATGCTCAGTTTCCCGAGTGAGAATTTCTACCCTCACTCCCTCACATTGCCATAAAGAGCTTCTTTGGAAAGCTGGGCAGTACCAGGCCCACCTCTGCATGTGCTCAGAGCCAGGGTTCCGAGGGACAGCTCAGCTCTCAGGCTCTACCCCCAGGGGGCTGGCCCAGGGCCCCACACAGTAATGAAGACCGGGGTGTCTGAATCAGTCAGGAATGCTTTGGGAGGCAGGGTTGAAAACGAGATAAAGACAGGAAGACAACAGAACTAGACCTCTGGTCCCTGGAAATATCCTAGGGGCTTCAGAGAGAGAAAGAAAGGAAGAGGAAATCTGGAGACTCACTGCTTCATTCATCCTGATCCCCTAAATCCATCCACTCAGGTGGCAAACGGTCATGGTCCCAAAGACCCTCCACCCCAACCAATCCATAGTTATTTCAGATTAGAAACAACACAATTCCTTCCCATCCTCAATTCAGCCTTCGGGCTGGGAGCCCCTAAGTTACGTCAGCATGTTGGAAATACGACCCCAGGCCTCGAGAGAGAGGCGCTGCCACATGGGAGGAGAGAGGAGTCACGACTCAAAGGGGATCAGCACAGCACAGAGAAAACTGATTGCGAAGACAAATCAAAAGTAAAACGTAAAGGAACCATCCAAACTCCCAGAGGGTCCTGCATTTCCTCTCACGTCTCTGCCCAGCAACAAGGTCCGAGACCCTGTGGGACCGGAGGGTCAGGGGTTAGTCCAGGGGGAACAAGAAAGGAGAATGAGGGTTAAGAAACATCCCGGGCAGGGAGCTGGGAAAGGGAAGAACTCGGACCTGGAAGAAATGTGAAGTTAAAAAGGACACCGGCTGTGGGGACATACAACTTTCCTTCAGGCCAAATCCTGTTTGCTTTTCCAGTCAGCTCACCCAACATGGGGCCTGGCATTTGGAAGACACTGAACAAGCATTTGATGGTCTGACGGCAGAAGCCACAGGGAAAGGGTGCTGGGTGGGAGAAACAGGATCCTGGGGGTTTCTGCCAAGCAGTTCTTGGCTTCAATCCAGGGGTAAATTCTACCTCTCTCCCAGCTGTTTGCTCTGGAGAACCAGGAGCTGGAGGCTGAGTTGCACTGCATCCCAGTTGTCCTGGGAGAAGGATCAACAGAGCCTCCTCAGCCTGGGCTCAGAGCACTGGCAACGAAGAGCAGGGGCTCCTCCAGGTCTCGGAGGCCTGGGAGTGAGGGGCTGAAGTCCCAGGAAGAAAAGGCAACTTTTAACTCCAGCCTTGACCTGAGGACTCAGAAGACCTGGGGACGGAGAGGAAATGCGGCCATGGGGGGAGCCTGCCACCCAGTCCCAGCCTGGCCCCACTTACGGAACTGAATGAATTATCAATACTCTCGGTGCTGGAGGAGAGCTCCTGGGAAAGGGCCGGAGGGCAAGGGGAGAAGAAGGGGGCAGGGAGGGAAGGGAGAGAGACAAAGGCAAAGAATTTAGCTCCAACCTGGATCATAACTGTTTCTCTTATGTAGCTCTACCTTTCTGCTTTAATGAAAGAAAATCAGCCCACAAATGCCACTTGCCCAGATTCTTGACATTGTGGAAGATGCTAGAAGGCTAGCGTAGACCTTGAGGTCAGAAGGGCTGAAGAGGTAGTGGCCTCTGCTTTTCATTTCATGCCCTTCTGTTCTTGCCTGCACAAGTCTTCCTTCTAGGAAAAAATCCTACAGCTGCATCCCTGAAGGAGACAGGTACCTCAGTGCTGCAAAGCTTTCCTGATTCCTCTTTATTCACTCACATGCTCTCAACCAACCCCTTCTCCATGGAGACCACCATTGAGACTGAATTTAACAAGCTGCGTGGCCCCCATAGCAGAAATCCCATGTTCCTCCAGCTTCTTGGAGACATCGAGGAGGAAGCAGAAGAGCTAACCTTTCAGTGTCAGGTACATCTCCTCTCTAATCAGCCTCATTATCACCCTGGGAAACCCAATCCCACTCTTGAATCATGTGATGAGGGCTAGCAGGGACCCAGGAGCATGAAACATCTGCGCTAGGTGCTGCTGGGAGTTAAGGACGAGTAACTCTCTTACCTACCACACTTCTGTAGGCTTCCGATCAGGGTGTCTCATGTGACACTCAATAAACTACAATTTTTGGATGTAAGTTGAGAAGCCAGGTCCCAACTGAATCCATCTGAGAAAGCTGAGTGGCTGGCTGCTCCAGAGTGGCTGTCCTGGCCCCAGTTCAGGGGAGTTAGCTAAAACTCACCCCATTCCTATGTCTTACTGGCGTCTGCGAGCAAAACAGGGACAAGGACTGGTGCCGAGAGTCACTGAGCGGCTCTGCGGCACTCGTGCACAGGCCCGCCCTGGCTTCCGTCCACCAAGGTCTCCCGGGACAGGGAGAACGGGCAACATGGGCGCACAGTGCACAGGGAGGGAGGTCCTGGACTCAGAGACAAAGTCGGAGCGGCTCCCAGGGCAGGAGGGCAGTGGACACTGAGCTGCTCTGCAATCAGAATTTCAAGCATCTACTTAATTCGATTCCACGGTTTACGTTCTATTCCAGCTGGAGGCCCTCTTGTCAGGTCTGTCTTTAAAGAATCTGGGGAGAGGGGCACTTTGAGGGAGAATTCAGGCTGAACACTCCCCCAAGGCCACAGCTCTTCTGCTTGGGGGGTAGAGGTGGTGGGAGGGAGCACCAAGGCAGCAAGGGCGCTCAAGTTGATGATGACCTGCTGGCTCAATCTCTACCCAGGAGCTGGGTGGGGAAGGAATAGTAGGCAGGATATGGGTTCCACAAGCCCCACTCCAGCTGCTTCTACAGACAGGACAGTCCTGTCTGACTCATTAACAGCCTTGGGGGCAGGGAGATACATCATGAACTGCTCCTCTCTCCTCCTCTGGAGACTTGAGTCACTCAAACTGAGTCAGCTCTAAGGAGAGAAGCTTGAGGCCAAGAAGCTGACATCACAGTCTATTGGGCTGGAAGGTCTCCTGGGCTTCCAGTGTGATAAGCACATTTCTCTGTACAAAGGTTATAGCCTTGAGAAGACAAGGCTGATCTACATTAAGTGGGGAATCGTGTGGGGTGGGGGTAGGATCTAAATCACCGTTCCTTGAGCCCCAACCCTAGGCCAAAATAATTACCATGTGGTTACAACTGGAAAGGAAAACTACCTGAACAACTTAAGAGTTCCCTAAGTTGAGAAAAACTGCTCTGAAGGGTTGGGCTGGGGTGGGGGAGTGGGAGGAGGAATAGTAGGAGATGGGAGAAATCAATGCTGGAGCCCTTTAATTGTAAGGGAGAGTGTAAAGGATTCCTCATTAAAAAATAGAACCCTCTGTGAGATGTGGGCAGAGAAGAACTCTGCTGGGAGACCCTAGGCAGGAAGAGACTGCACAAGCACCTGGGATTCTTCTTGGAGGCCTCCCTTCACCTTCCAGAGGTTCCCTGCTGGTGATGGGAGCACAGTATTAAACTCAGAACCCACGGGGAAAGCCAGAGAGGGCGAGCAGGGTGTTTCTCCTTTGAGAGTCTCTGTTCAGACCTTAGATAACTATGTGCTTTGTTTTAGTGAGCTATATACTTCCTCCTCACATGCAGGAATCAACATTTCAGGAGAGTCATGAACTCCACCAGAAAACCGCTAGAACTAATAAATTCAGTTAAGTTTCAGGATATAAAACTGAAGAGTTACAAACCAAACAACTTCCTAGGTAATGGGATCTCCCTATTACCTTGTAAGTTCCTGGAGGAAAGGACAGCATTTTATCCTACATCCCCCACTGCCTCCGGCACAGGGCTCTGCAGTGGACAAGCTGAAGAACTATAGGCTGAGTGAATAAATGCTGCATGACAGGGGAGATGGGAGGATTAGAAGAAAGCAAGCCAATACTTGGGAGACAAAGGCCTTGGAAGATGTATCTCCGAAAAGTCACAGGGGTTTGGAGAGGCCTCTGTGCTGAAGACTTCAATGCTTAGGCTCCTGGTGACTCTCACTCTCACATCTCCTGGGGAGCCACAGTGGATTCTGGTGTCTCTCTCTGCTAGCACCATATAACCTGGGAGTGGCATCTCCTTTCGTCCCTGGATCTACTGACCCAAGAAAAAGGAGCCAAGTTGGGAAGAATGGCAGCTGGAGAAGCCAATCTAGAGAATTTAAGCATTCACAGAATACCTGGGTCTCAGCATCACCCCAAATCCCATCCTAGGCAGGAGTGAGCTGCAAGAGGGACTAAGGATCAACACAGAGTACAAAAAGCTCGAGGCCTCAGTTTTTCCGGTCCGAAGATGAGTACTACAAAATGCCTGTGGAGTAAAGCCACGAGGCGCCTGACACGAGGCACCATGGGATTCACTTACAGCTGCTCACACTCGTATCACTACAGGCCTGACCCCCAGAGGAGCTCCCAAACCCTTCACGACCTTAGTCCCACCAGCTCTGGATGATTCTTCTTGCTCTGCAACAGCCTCCCTTCATGACCCTGGGCTTCCTGCCAAGCTCAACCAGAAACGAAAATGGTCCATTCTGGTTCTGAGAACAGCTGGGCCCTGCCTGTGCCTGGGCGTGGAAACCTTCATGGCTAAGGCCTAGGCTGTTCTTCCCCGAATGGACTCTGACAGCTGAGGCTGGGTGTGACAGACACTGGTTGAGAAACTTGAGCCAAATCATCTAACCTGTTTCCTCAGTGGTAAAATAATACCTGTCTCTTAAGGTTGTTGTGAGGATTAAATGTAAAATATTTGACATGATGCTTGGCACGTACTAAGTGCTCAATAAATGTTAGCTCCTTTAGTTTCACTATTATCATAATAAAATACCAAATTTCCAGACAGACCAGGCTCTGTACTCTTTCCCTCCTGCCTTTCCCTGCCCTAGTCACTCTGACCTCTTTACTTGAAAGAAGTCTCATTGTATCAAAAATGTGGGTGGGTTGTGGGCCCCAGAGAGGCAGATGCCAGCACCGTGGCTATACACATTCTCCAGCAAGTGCAAATTCCTTGGTCTTTTCTCCCTTCTTCCCTAAGACTAGGCTGGCAGCCAGATGGGAGCCTGGCTGGTGGGGAGTCAGGGGTGGGGTAGGGACCGGGGGACCATTTTCTGGCTGGGACATTAGGTAAGTCACTAATACTTGGTTGTTCACTGGGCAAGTTTCCCTGCTCTCTGTCCAGATGTGGAATAACTGGTGTGTATGAAGCCTGGAGTGCTGAATCCATGGGGTCGCCAAGAGTCGGACACGACTTAGAGACTGAACAATATGACCAACTGATGGCTTATCTCACCCCCATCCTATCCTAAATGGGACACCCCAACTGCTGCTTTCTCTTCTTAGGCTTCAGGCCCTTGACTCGACACTGGGTGTGCCCAAGATTTACTGCGTATCAGGACTGCTTCCCTCTTCTTTCTGTGCTTCTCCCAAATGACATGGGAAAGAGACAAGCATGACAGCCCTTCCCCCAAGGAAAGGCAGGTGGGAAGGCATTCTGCAGATGCCTCAGTGATAGGGAATGAACCTTACCCTTATGTCAACAAGGAGCAGGATCTCCAGGGAGTGAGGGAGAGGGATTATGAAGAGCAGTGGGCAGGAGAATGAAGCTGAGGTTCTACTTATCATCTCCCCTCCCCCAGCACGCACAGAATTCACACACAGAACCCCTCTTCCTCCCCGCCATGGTTGTTGCTCTGAGAGGTCCTGGTAGATATCCCAGGGTTCAAGTCAGGCTGGTGGGGGTCTCTGCCACAGTTCTCAGGAAGTAAGATGGCAGTGCAATTTAGTGAAAACCCACTGGACAGTCAGGAGTATCAGCCTTGCTATTAAGCTATACGACCCGAGGCAAGTCACTTTATCTCCCTGGGTCTCTGAGTTCTTTGTAAAATGAGGCAGCTGGAATACATGAATCCTAAGTCTTTTTCCATTCTAACATTCCATCTTTAACTGGTGAAATGAAACACAGGGAAGGAGTGAAACGGACAGAGTAACCCTGAGCCAGACATCCTGTCTCTAAGCCACCTGGCTTGCCCCTCCGTCCCGCCCGGGAATCTTACCTCATCCTCATTCTCCACTTTAGGGTTGCTGGCTGTTCGTTTCAGGTTGCTGCTGAGACTTATGCTGGCAGTGGCATCTGACTTAGAGCGCTGGTGAGTCCTTTTAGAGGGAGACAGCCCTGTGTCGGGGGCTGGGCTCAAGGAGGGCAGCTCCCTCTTTCGGTGAGCGGGCTTCAGCTCATCTGAGAGGATCAGCTTCCGCAGCTTGGTCCCACGGGAGTGTCGCTGAGTGGAAATGTGCATGTCTGAAGAGTAGGCCCCCAGCAACAGAGCACACTGGAGGGAAAAGTTAATGCTCTGGCGGCAGCGGTGGACTATGTAGGGCTTGATGGCATCACCCACGTCCTCATCCATGTGAATGTACATGTTAAGCAACTGGGGCAGATAGAAGTCCACATCCTCATTACGAAAGCAGAAGAGCCGGTTGCCGATGTAGGCCTGCACCCCAGGCTCCTTGGAGTTATACAGGTATGAAATGGCCATAGAGATGTCAAACAGTTTCGACTCAAACAGCCTCAGCAGCCAAGACTGTTTGGCCGAGTTGTTCTGCCGCCGCCTTCTTGCTCCCTTGGCTGTGCCTGAGGCCACTGTGGCCCCCATCTCATCTTCCTCCTCCCTTATCTGGGCAGGTGGGTCGTCCAGGCAACGGATCTCGCTGTCCACACCATCCCCATTGACCAGCTCCAGTGGGGTGCCTCTGCTAGAGATGGCCACGCCTCCATGCAAGAGCTTGACTTTCTCCAGCACCTCCTGGCAGGCCTTCTGGGCCACCTCAGGGTCAATCACCGAGAGCTCCCCGACCCCCTCCGTGATGACACTTAGCAAGGAGCCCCCATTATTCCCTGGTGGGCCAGGAGCGGGCTCAGAAGTTGGCTTCAGGGGGGCAGGCTCCACTACCGTGTCTCCCATGGCCACAGCCAGACTTTGAGCTGCCAAGCTGGAGAAGGAAGGAGGGAGAAAGGAAGAGAAAGGGAGACACACATACACACACCATTAGTGGTGCCGACCTCAGGTCTGGCCCTCACCAGGAAACCTTCCCAGGCATCCCCTCTCTTTATGTCTTCTGGGACTCATTCAAACTCAGATGAAAAGTCATCCCCTCCCAGGAAGCTTACCCTGACTCCCTCCTTCCACCTCCCACCCTTACATTACTCTTCACTCCTTCTGGGCTCAGTTACTCAGCTTAGCCTCTGTTCTTAACTTGTATTTGCAAAATGTTGCTTTATGTGTGTTACGTTTATATGGGTTTACAAATTCTTCAGATAGACTGGGAAGCAATTCTGGTCTTAATTCTCTTGTCCCCAACTCTTCAAATGCTTTTCTCCCTTCATGCTCTTCCCATATCTCCCTCAAATGCCTTGCCAGTAACCTTTATTTTTGCCTCTTTAAACTGTATTTTCTTCCTCATATAACACTCCATACACAGGTCCTGAACATCTCACCTTTATTTAGCGCTAAAATCTTGATGTGTTTTTCCAGTTACAGATACTTTTCTTACCTTCTCTTTTAGACTCAAAGCACCCAAAAAATAATGGCCAGCAAACACCACACCAGGCTCTACCGCGAAGAAAATAGCTCAGAAACAACCATCGTCAACCCTGCTGAGGTGGGCCATTTCTCTGCTTGTCTGAGCACATGACATCGTGCTCCCTTCCTCCAGTGCTGTGGCAGCTGAAAGATGGTGGAAAAACTGAACTTGGAGTCAAACAGGCTGAGATTCAAAATCCTGGCTCTGCCCGTATGTGTGTAAACTTGTGCAAACCACCTATCTTCTGTTTGTTTCCTCAACTGTAAAATGGGAGGAAACATGTCTATTTCTTAATGTCACTGTGTATTAACAGAATGAGTAACTTCATGTGTGTAAAAGGAACTAACGTGTCTGTCCCTGGCACACAGTGTGTGTGTGTGTGAGTCACTCACTCGTGTCCGACTCTTTGCGACCCTATGGACTGTAGCCCACCAGGCTTCTCCGTCCATGGAATTCTGCAGGCAAGAATAGTGGAGTGGTTTGCCATTCCCTTCTTCAGAGGAACTTCCCAACCCAGGGATCGAACCCTGGTCTCCTGCCTTGCAGGCAGATTCTTTACTGTTTGAACTATAAGGAAGTCTAGTATAGGCACACAGTAGTACTCTACAAATGCTGCTGCTGCTGCTAAGTCACTTCAGTCGTGTCTGACTCTGTGTAACCCCATAGATGGCAGCCCACCACGCTCCCCCATCCCTGGGATTCTCCAAGCAAGAACACTGGAGTGGGTTGCCATTTTCTTCTCCAATGCATGAAAGTGAAAAGTGAAAGTGAAGTTGCTCAGTCGTGTCCGACTGTTAGCGACCCCATGGATTGCAGCCTACCAGGTTCCTCTGCGCATGGGATTTTCCAGGCAAGAGTACTGGAGTGGGGTGCCATTGCCTTCTCCGCTACAAATGCTAGTTAAATCCTTATCACCTTAAAGGTTAATAAACAATTCACGTGCACACACCTATGTTGTTTATAAGGGGAGGGACTTATTTAATACTTGTTACTCAAGACTCTTCCAAAACATTTATGTGAGTCCTCTCCTATCCCAACCCTACTTTTCCCCATTCTCATACACACACTCCAAGAACTGGAGGGGCTGTGAGAAGACAAAAAGATATCAGGCTGGAGGCCACCTGTCCAGAATGTCCAAAGGAGAAGAAAACATACAACCAAGGGATCAGAAGGAAAGTCAGTGAGAGGACACTGTTGATAAAAGCCACTGCCTTCCTAGAATGATTCTTCAGAGACTCACCAAATCCAGATCAGGAGAATCAGTGCAGAACAGGAGGAAATCTCAAAGCAAGGACTGGGAGGGGTACACTATATTAATGTCAGATTGACGCAGCTCCAGAGTCTGGCTGTAGGTAGCAAAGGACTCAAGAGGCCTCGTCACAAAAATACAAATACCGTGAGGCACGTTACACTCAAGAGCATGAGCAAGAGGAAGGCAGAAGCAGTTGTGGAGCTGGAAGGCAGATAATTTCCAAGTGATAGTGACATCAATGAACCTGATAAGTGGGGTTTGACCCTAGTGAACCCAAGTAAGTGGAAGGAGGCTCAAGATACAGATTCTCTAGTCACTCTGCAAAGCCCAAGTTTCCACTGCTACTCTTTCAGTGCCTCTTGAACCTCTGAAATGTTAAGACTCAAGGTTACCTTCATCTGCCCAACATATATAGTCCAGCTTGCTCTCCCCCACCAGTCAACCACTAACATTGTGCAGGAAGATGGATGGAGAACTCTTAAGTTCTCAAGGAGTATTAAAAAGAAAAAAAAAAAAAGGCAACTTCAGTTTATTTTTCTCCTAATTCTGTCAAGCAAAACGTTCATCCCCCAATTAAATTTCTCTGATGCAGTCTGAGACTGGAATCGGCAAGAAGGTGGCAACTCTTTCACCATGCTCTTTCCCAAATGAGGCAGTGACCTCTGAGCAGTAGAACCAGCATGGCTGCCTCTGCCCATGCGGATCTGTCTCTACTGGCAACTGTGGGCTGCACAGGAATAATAAGAGGGAAGTGTGAACCAGTACCTGCTGCAACTCTGTGGCACACTGCACCAGAGGGTTCTCAAATTCCTCAAAGTCAACCGGGACCACTACTACCCTTTAGGTCTGCTTAGACACTCACACAACAGACTCAAATCACTCTATATAACCAATTCTTTTTTTTCAATCTCTCTATGCTTGGCACATGATTCTCTTTTCCTCTACTCCAGAGATTTTCAAGACACCAAAAGCTTCTAAAAGACCACTTTTCAAAACTTTCAAGGGAAAAGAAGTTCAGACATTCTCCCACATACAGGATTTCAGATTCTACTAGGAAATGCAGATGATCTGGAAACAGTCACAAGTGGGATTACTACTGGCACCAGGGAGGAAGCCAAGGAGGCCATCATTTCTTTTATCCCAGGGTTGAGCTAGAAATCCCACATCACAGTCTTTAGGGGACTTGCCCACTGAACAGAACAGGTCCCCCATTTGACAGCCTTTATTCCCCAGGGAACAGAAAATGTCAAGAGGAGGAGGAAAAGCAAACTCCTCTCCTGGAGAGGGCAGCTCTGCCACTGGAAACCACCAGACTGGAGCCTGGCCTCCCTCCTGGCCTTCCTGAGTCTCAGGAACTGCCTGCCTCTGAAGCAAGTCATGGGGAGAAGGAGCAGCTGAAGGAAATGTAGGTTGTTTTGGCAATTTAGGCAATAAGAAATAAGAAATGGATTTTTCAAAACCTAACTCCAGATATGGTCTTTAACATCAGTTAATTCATTCTGAAATACAAAGAAAATATAGCTTTGATAAGTAACTATTCTAAAGAGAGTGAAAGGACTAGAAAGCAAAAAAGGAAGAAACTGTTTCTGTATTCACCACCTTTCCCCTTTTAAGTCAGAGAACAAGAAGAACCCCAGAGAAGAAAATTCAAACCTTTAATATCAAAAGACTCCTATGGCTCTCAAGGACACAGACAACTGAGGCTCCACATTTCACACTGGGAGCCTAAAGTGGCCTTCCGGTGAGGCTAGAAGGGAACTGAAGAGGTCTACCATGACCCAGACTAGCAGCTAGCTTCTCGGAAAGGGGTGGGTGTGTCGGGGGGGACAGGGAATGTTGACAACCAACTGGCTCCACACCTTATGTCTGGGCAAAGAAGGGACCCCTCAGGTGAGCATCAGAGGGTTCTTCTGGGCAGAGCAGAGAACAGCATTGAAGGAGGCCAGAGAGGGACATGTGCATTTCTTCTGTGACTAAGCATCTAAGTCTGCAGATTTTGGGGGTAGGGAACGCTAATCACTTAACCTGGCTTCTCGCTTCTCATCACCTCAAAAGATTCTAGACAAGCAATTCTCCACTGGCCTCCATGAAACGACTTGGTGGATTGGTCTCTGTTAGGACAAGATATAAAGAGCCCCAAATCAATTTCCTCACATAGTTAATCACCATCGCCTTCTTGAAATCTTTTTCCAAGAACTAGATAAATATGACTGCTTCAGATCAATCCTCATGTTTTTAATATGTTCCTGTATTTTCATAGAATGACCCTTAAGAGATCATCTTATTGCTCTACCTCCAAACAGAAAGGTGAGCTCAATTTTCCATTGCCTTTTAAAAGATCCCTCTGGAAAAAAAAAAAAGAAAGATCCCTTTGAGATGGAGAGATGGATCATGTGAACCGGAAAAAAGAGTAGTGGAGCCAATATCTTCATCCTACAAGGTAGGTAGTTAAGAGAGGCTATTAAAAGTTAATGGGGGAGAAGGCGAGGGTGGGATGTTTCAAGAGAACAGCATCGAAACATGTATATTATCTAGGGTGAAACAGATCACCAGCCCAGGTTGGATGCATGAGACAAGTGCTCGGGCTTGGTGCACTGGGAAGACCCAGAGGGATCGGGTGGAGAGGGAGGTGGGAGGGGGGACCGGGATGGGGAATACATGTAAATCCATGGCTAATTCATTTCTATGTATGACAAAAACCACTGCAATGCTGTAAAGTAATTAGCCTCCAACTAATAAAAATAAATGGAAAAAAAAAATAAAATAAAAGTTAATGGATAGGGTGGGAGGTGGGAGGGAGAGGACATACGTATACCTATGGCTGATTCACACTGATGTATGGCAGAAACCAACACAACATTGTAAAGCAATTATCCTCTAATTAAAAATAAATAATTTTTTTTAAAAGTTAACGGAAAGAAAGTTCAAATGTCATTTAAAGGTATTCAGGCTTCCAGTAGAAACAAAAACAACATATAAACAAGAGGTATGAATCTTCTAAAAGTCTTCTTTTGTAATGATTAATAAACCAAAAAACAGAGGAACAAAAATTTTATCTAAAGCTCTGGCAATAACTATCAGAGAGAAACACTAAAATAACTAAGAGGTTATCTCTAGGAGTAGGGATGA